CATACAAAAACAAATTCATGGATTTTCAAAAGGTAATTCATGTAAATTTTCAAAAGTGACGATTTCTACCCATGCTTGCACTATGATTTCAAAAGGTAATTCATTTTGGAGCTTGGGCTCCAAGCCTCCAAACTCCATGGGCTCTAGCCTCCAAGAGATTACATATGGACGTGCTCCATGTATGTGAGTAATTTAAGATGCGAGCTACACAAAAAGAAAAAAAATTCTTGGATTTTTAGCACATGCGCTGTTTGCTATTAATATCCACGGATTTGCTATTAACAGAAGACGTGCTACAAAAACGGTTACAACAGAGGACGTGGTACAGTAAACCTATTGAGCAGCTAGCAGTATTTTAAATGAAAAATATGCGGTGGTATTTATCCCTATAAAACCATCTACTAAGACTTTTCAAGATTTACAGAAGAAAAGGAACTCGTAATACAGTGAGATGCGGTCCATAAATTAATTGCTTCGGCACGACGGTAGCAGGTTTTCACGTGTCACGTAGCTCACAAAAGGTAGCACCATATTCATATGTACAGATCGAACCCTACCAAGTAAACGAACTCCCGGGCTGAGCCTATTCTCCTTCCACCTGAAGCTTTTTAAGATACCTATATTCTCTGCAAATCAAGAGCTACCAGCAGCAGCAGCGGCGGCAGACTCCAGAAGGCTCAGGTACTCCGCGATGGCCTGCCCTTCATTGGCGACGTCAATGTCATAGTCGTCCAGGGCATCACCCGTCAGCTCGTTGGCGAGCTCGTTCTCCATCGCCACGTCCCTGACCGGACCTTGCGCATGACTCGCGCCCGCTTCTTCCTCGACCAAATCCTCCTCCTCTTCGTCGCCCATGTCTTGATCTTGGTTCACAGCCTCTAAATTGGCCCCAGCTTCTGCGTCGTTGGGCAAAGCTTCTGCCTCGTTGTTCGCAGCTTCTTCTTCGTTGTTCACAAGCTGCTCCTGATTGTCGCCCTCGGCAGCATTTAGATCTGGGATCTGTGGTGGGGCATTACCCCCCGCTGTGGCAGCCACAGCAGCAGCAGCCCCGGCTCCCAATGGTCCTGCACCCAAGACTGGCAAGACGTAGAAGGGGATGTAAGTCTATTTCATCTGTAACGATGCAATTTATTAGAGTAATGACGAATGTGTTAAACCCATACATACCATGAAGTGGTCGTTTCCTCCTTGACTGAATTTTACTCTAGAGTGGAAATGACAGAACAAAAGGAAATGTTAAAAACTGCATAGCATCTTGGTAGGATAGGAGTAAGAAAAAAGAGGCAAATAACGCCTACTTGTAGGGCACAGTTCAGTTCAGGATTTGTCAAAAGATCTAACGCTTTCTCAGCGTCATTTTCATTTATGCGGAGTGCTTCTGCAGCAAGGTACTTCTCAAACCTGCAAAATTAAAACTGATCGGTTACAAACAGAAACAGGACAAGTATCAGCATGAAGTTTCCTATACTACACTTTCTCCACAAGACAACTAAAGACACGTCTAAATCAATGTATGGCTGCTAGGAATAGATGCGTGAAATCTAAATAACCTTTAGATCCATCTAAGATTTCGATTCCCAGTAAAAAAATAATATAAAAAATGGGACCAAAAAAATAAATCCTATATTGCTTCATAAAACATAATCTTCCAATATTGCTTTATATAAACGAAAATGCATCAGTGCACTTGAGCGTGCAGCACACACTGGTGAGAATGCCCACTTCCATGTTTTGAGAAGTTCTGACAAAACTTATACATGTACATTGTTGGATGTAGTTCGAATCTGCAAGTGTTGGTGCAAAAATAAAACTATCTATTTATGTGCTAGACAAAAAAGACAAACTGTTTACATTTATAGTTGTTGTTTTACTTCTGTTGTTGTTTCTCATAAAAAGTTTAACCAGCTGAAAATGCTATCTTTGCTACCTCTATGTGTCTGACTCTCTGTCACGCTATGTGTCTGACTCTCTGTCACGCGCACTCTGTGACACAACTGCCAATATTCGCATTGGCTCTCCTAATAAAGAGGTCCATGCTTTTCCTCTCCATCGTAAAGAATAACCCCTAAAAATGGACACGACGCAGGCACTTTCTGTTAACCTGTCTTTATTTAGGCAAACGCATTACCATATAAGTAGGACCTTGCATAGCCCCGTCTAACTTGAGCAACATCGCAAGCGCGCAAACCAAACCTCCCAATGGCATCCTTCTACGCAGCCATAGGTTTCATCCTCCCCTTTCTCCTCACCATCGCATTGCCCCAATCTACTGGTTCCCCTCCTGCGGCGCCGTCGACCACCGGGTCATTATCCATCGAGGACGCCTGCAAGCAGACCACCAAGCTCTACGACCTCTGCATGGCGACGCTCTCCCCGGACCGGTCCTCCTTGACGGCTGATGCTGTGGGCCTGACCAGGGCGGCCATCCTGGCTGTCCAGAAGAACGCGTCCGAGACAGCCACATACCTCACGAACATCGATGAAGATGACAACTTCAATAAAACGGCGCAGCTGCAACAATGCCTCGAGGGCTGTGGGGAGCGGTAAGCAGCTAGCTCTGACGTACATGTGTGATCACCAAAGGCAACTTTAACGATGAATCATGGATTGCATGCTTTATCGATCATATATATGCATGCAGGTATGAGGCGGCCGTGGAGCAGCTGGCAGACGCGACAATCGCGCTGGACATGGGGGCATACGACGAGTCGCAGGTGCTGGTATCTGCAGGCCAGGCGGAGGTGAAGCTGTGCCAGAAGGGGTGCCAGGACTCACCAGAACACCGGAGCATCCTCATGGCGCGCAACACCGAGGTCGACCAGCTCTGCAATATCACTCTCGCTATCGCCAAGCTTATCCCCCGGTGACCGGACTCTGCTCGCTCATGGTGGTATATGACTGCCATATTGCCTTTGAAGACATGGTGGCTAGTGAATTAATTTATCTAGCAGATGGGAGCCAGACCTTCTGTGTAAACTAGCTGAATAGCCATATTTTACTATGGCTAGATAACCATGCTGCGCAACATATTTATGCTATCGTCGTCATACTCAGTCGGGTCCACACCAAAAGATTAAGTTAGTTCATTTCATTTTCTTCAGTATACAAATTGACAATATGTGTTGCCCAAAATTGGCAGGTTTCACCTGTTCCAACATCATGCACCAACAATAAAACTCTTTTTTTTTAACAACTAAAGTGTCCCTTTTGATTCAACTCAAATCATCAGGTGCATACTCGGTGCATCCAGGTGCAGAAAATCCGCTCTCCATAGAACATGTCACATTGGATACAATGAAACATGAACGACATGGCAAAACTTACGATAACTAAGAAAATCATTCCGCACGAACGAAATGAACGAATTTCATTGCCTTTCATCACTAACATTGTTCCCTAATAAATATTTATTTCAACTGAACACGTAGATTTTCAACTACACTTTCTTGACAATCTGGTAAAAAAGTTTTGAGTTTTTAGGGCCTGCTTGGTGCTTGCGATTTTGGTGGCCTACTTAAAACAATCTATTTTGTTATTTTACATAGTACTAACTGACTGAGAGCCTCTTGTTTGGACTTTCAACCCATAACAAGCATAGTTCGCTAGAAGTGGCAAAGAGCCCAGTGACAAACATTGATGCAAAAGCATGGTGCAATAAAGCCAGATTGGTCATTAGGCATCTGATCCTCAAATGTAGGACTATGGGGATTTCATGATAAAATCAACATCTATTTCTCAAATACATGTGATTCGTATAATATAAGACCAAAACACTCTTACCCGATAGTAGTCAAGCCTTTCAACTTCTGCATATCAACTGCCTTGTTCATGGGAGTTTTACCATATCTCCTTTGTTCCCTAGGATAACGCCAAACAAAATGTGCATAAGTCAGCAAAAAAGGAAAAGGAGAATGATACATAGAAGGGAAAGTAAGCCTCTCAATGTGAAGGTTACATTATCTCTCTCTGTGTCTCGATGTCCTGCTCCCTTCTACGAATTTTCTTTTCACGCTCCTCACATAAGAGATCAACAGAAGATTGAATATCGTAGCCAGTCATCTTTAGTGCTCTTTTTGATGCTCGTGCGTCATAGCCCATATCCGTTAACATTGCTATAGCTTCATCTGGTACTTGCAGCTAAATCAACATGCATTTACTCATTTAGTAGCAGCACTGATATGGTACTAAGGTCAAAGAAGTACAAATAAGATACTAAAACTGACAACAAACAGAATTTACCTGCATGTATTTAGATTGTGCAGAACTGAGAGAGCCACGTGCCTTTTCAGTATTACCATTATAATATGCTACCACTCCTTCCAAAAGCTCCAGCCTTACATAGCTGTTACATGGGCAGCAGTTTTGATACATCAGGAAACAATGTAAGTTAAAGCTAGAATGCTTAACAGGTCTCACTCTTGGGAGAGCCGCCACTAATATCCTAAACATTTATCTTAACGAAAATCCAACAAAGATCAAATTAGAGGTGTGCATGCAACATCCATAGTGCCACATTGTGGGTACCACTAGTTGGTTACACTATGAACTGGTGATCCTCTACTTTTCAGCTCTTCTTTCTTTCTAAATGCAGCAATTAGTTATCTACCCCTCGATGAAAATACCCACTCTCTCCAAACAACTGTATAGTAAAAAAGAGATAGAAAAATGATAGTAGAAAAAGGATGGTAAGAGTCTTACAGAGCCAGATCTGCATGACGGGCTGCCTGGAGTAATCTGAAGCGTGTGGAATCTTTACCGTGTGAGAGTTCAAATCCTACCCTAGCCTTGTTTAGGCGAGCCCCTGCAACTTCTAAGCGTGATACATCACGAAGCATGAAATAGCACCAGACTATATCCAGTTGAAGCATTGGCACATTATCAACTCTCTGCAGAATATGAATGGAGTGTAAGTAAAATACTTCAGCACTCTATTTGACAGAGGTAACAGATAATTCTTCTCACGATTCAAGTTACCTCAATGAGCTTATTGTCACAAAGAGCGAAGGCTTCCTGGCAACACAACAGATGGGTCAGTAATTATACAGCTAATTAACAGGCATGCTTCTTACAGTAGGGCAAAAACAATCACGCAAGGCAGTATATACCTCGGACATCATCAAAACATCCAGTGCCTCCTTATACATGTTCTTCTTGATAAGAACTTTTGCCTTTTGATGAAGCATTAGAGCCATCTTCAAAGCCCTAGAGATAGCACACATGATGAGCTGAATAGTACAAACTACATGAGAAAACGACTGAACAGAAGGTTCAATGTATATTACTTCATATCATCTGCAGATCCAAACATCACTTTTTGTCCGCTCTGGTCCTCGAGAGCTATGTTGAAGTTTTCATCAAGGAGAGAGCCATCTGAATGCCTTTGAGATAATGCTTGTGCAGCATCCCTACAAAACATTATGGTAATCTATTACTGAGGAACAAACATTTGCTTTCCACCTATCTTGTGCTACTAACATTTTATACAATAGAAAACATGCAACTAACCATCACCATCACACTTTCAATCAAGGCACGCAACCTATCTGTAATCATGCAGCAGTAGGAGTTCTATCCCACAACTCATTATCTTCAGTTACTGAATTTGTGAGTTTCTGAATCATACAGACTGTACATTGTGTTCTTCTTACCGAGAAAGGAACACTTGCTTCCACACTACTTTGTGTTACTAGCATGTTCTACATTACATAACATAACATAGAACTGATTATGGATGTAAATTATGATCGAATTGACAATAATGTGTGCCTCCACCATGTGGAGACACATCCTGTTGACTAGGGCCCTTGACTTGCCACAAAGAGTCAATGCCCTAATGGCGGAGAGTGCGATCTTATCTTTTGTCCCGCGGTTAATATAATATAGAATAAAACAATGGCATCGGTGCTCATAATTTTAGACTGCCAAGCGAAGATCCTGCTCGCGGCGACTGCAATTTTTTTTCCGCCGAAAACAGGGGAAACAGAGCAGGAATCTGGAAATCCAAAATACCCCTCGGGATTCGATCAGAGAGGAGCGGAGCGACCCTCACCAGAGCCTGACGAGCTTGTTGGAGTGCTCCTCCTCCGCGGCCGCGGCGGCGGCCTCGGCGGCGAGGGCCTTGCCGCGATCGGGGGAGGCGAGGGTGGAGAGCACCTTGGCGTTGCCCTTGAGACCGGCCTGCTGCAGCGAGACGCCGGCGGGGTCGTCCTTGAGCACGCGGCCGCCGAAGATGAGGCCGACGCGGTCGGGCTCCACGTCCCCGGCCCGCCGCGCCACCTCCGCCCGCAGCATCGGCACCGTCCAGGCGCCCAGCTCCACCTCCAGGGGGCCGGCCCACGCGCCGACCACGCGGATTCGATCCGCCGGCGGGGGCGCCGACGCCGATGCCGATGCCGATGCCTCGCCGGACGCCATCGATCGGGGTGGTCGATCGAGGGCTGGGGTTTTGGGCTCGGCGAGTTGTGGGGGATTTTGGTACGGGTTTGGGGTTTGTTGATGGGATTGAAACATAAAACGAGGGAGAGTCGGTTTTATGTAGGACTCATCAGACTCCGGGTCTTCGGCGTGAGGATTTTATTTTATATTTTTATTTTTTTTGGAACGGGAAAGGCACCCATGGTGCCAACTTCATTCAACTCAGTAACAGTGTACAGCATGAATTACAACTCCCTGAATGTTGCAAGAAGACATAGTGGAGATGACAGGGCAAGTTGAGTGAGAATAAGTTGAACTAAAACAACTAAAAACAGGTCCTGTTGCTCTGGTCAGAACCTGATGAGCTACATTGTGGTCTATGCCATTGATTTCTCTGGATATATGGAATACATGCGATTGCAACTGTCGAGTGGTGTTGTAGAACTCTGCAATGAGCTTTCTGATCGACCAAGGAATCACATCAGCCAAAACATTTTTGCTTGTTGCTGCTTTAGCCAAAGAGAGATTATCAGCGAAGAAGGTAGGTTGGCTAATTTGCAAAAGTTGAGTCACCCTCGCAGCAAGAACAAGGGCATGTGCTTCTGCTTGTAATGGAGAAAAGGTGGGCTCGGTCGAGGCTTGAATTTGGACCTGCATGCTCCTTTGATCCTGCAAAAAATTAAGAAAGACACCAATACCTGTGGATGTTTGTCCATGCGTTAGACCTGGGATCTTTCTACATTTAAAAGAAGCGTCAGACTAAATTTTTGCCCCCGAAATAAGAAGATTTGTCCTAATAGTTTGTCCCTGCAGCGGCAAAAGAGTGGAGTTTGTAATGTTTTGCTGGAGAGAATAAGTCTTTGCACCATCAGGAGAGGCGTCATTAAGTTTAATGCTTTCATCCAACGCCATTGTAGCCATAAAAACCTGATGAGGAGAAGAATTGTTTCTACCAAAAAGGCAATCATTTCTTGATTTCCAAATGCACCATAAGAAACTAAAAATATTTGGGATTGATGCATGAGAGTGGTTCATGGTCAGAAGAGCATGGATAAGAGCCTGTATAGAATGATGATCTTCAGTTAAGATATCAGTCCTAAAATACCAAGGATGCGCAAACCATGCAGCCCTAGCAAATGCACAATTGAAAAACAAATGCAATTCATCCTCATCTTGAACACAGCGACAACACTCTTTATCAATATGACTAGAGAAACGAGATGCTCTCAAACCTGTAGGGAGGGCCTTGCGAAGTAATCTCCAAGCAAATGTTTGAACCCTATGAGGCATATTCTTGTGCTTCCAAACCTGCTTGAGTAAATCTTTGACTAGTGTAGAGACCTGACCAGCTTGATTCCTGGGATGTCTTTGTATATCCTACAAACATAACTTGTATGTACTTTTAGCGTTGCACTTACCATTAGGCGTGAGATCCCAACATAATATATTCGCA